CTTGGAAGCAAGAATGGCCAGACTTCGTCTCACTTATTTTGGTCATGTTGTCAGAAGGGACCATTCCCTGGAGAAGGATGTCATGCTTGGTAGGGTGGAGGGTCAACAGAAGAGGGGGAGGCGAGATGGATTGATACGGTGGCTGCGATGACGGGCTCAACTATAGCAGGGATTGTGGGGCTGGCGCGGGATCGGGCAGTGTTTCATTCTGCTGTGCATGGGGTCTCTATGAGTCGGAAATGACTCGATGGCACTTAACAACAACAACGCCTAGGATATTGATCTTTATGTTCCATTTCATTTTTGACAACTTTCAATTTTCCTAGATTCATATTCCACACATTCCACATCACAATTATTAATGGCTGCTTGCAATTGTTTCTTCTCATTTTGAGTCTTGCCACATCTGCAAATGAAGGTCCAGAAAGCTTTACTCCATCTGCATCCTTAAGGTTGACTCTACTTTGAGAAAGCAGCCCTTTCCTAGTCATATTTTTAGTGCCTTCAAACCTGACAGACTCCTCTTCAGCCACTATATTAGACAATGTTTCCCTGCTATCCATAAAGTTTTCATTGGCCATTACCCCCGCCCTTCCACACACACACACACACACAGAAGTGGACCTGGCCATGTTCTTCCTGTCTGTCTTAGTCTGGAAGCTCCACTGAAACCTGTTCACTATGGGTGGCCCTGCTGGTATTTGAAATGCCAGTGCCATAGCTTCCAGCATCACAGCAACATACAAGCCACCACAGTAGGACAAATTGACAGATGAGTTGTGATGCAGATGAGTTGGGGGATACAGGCCTGCCTAAATGTAGAGTCTGCCTAATGTGTGTCTGGAGAGTGTTGGGCCTGTCTAGTGGATGTTGGGGGTGGGGAACTAAGCCTGTCTTGTATATGTGGGGTGTCTAGCCTGTACAGTGTATGTGAAGGGGGAACTGGGTTTGTCTAGTGTATGTGGGTGGGGCTGTTACCAGGAAAGTCCAGGTCCTGCTCAGCCTGATTCATCACAGCAAATTAACAAGAAGCCAAGGTAAAAGATCAGAAAGGCAGCTTTATTTCATTGACCAAGGAAAGGAACAAGCCAGGACTAGTGTCTCCAAGACTGCTTGGGGATGAAGTTGAGGGAAGTTGTTTTTTATAGCATTTACAAACAGGAAATCATTTGGATTACATCAGCAACATTTCAAATTATGTCACAGAGGCACAGTTACTACTGATTATATCATACACATGCATGATTAGAAAATGGCAACCAGACTCCACCCAGAAGCAGAGAAGTTATGAGCTAAAGTTAACTTCAAGTCGCAAAGACAGCTGGAACTGGCTGATGGACAACCACTTATCAGAAGTGAATACACCAACCCACAGTGGGCAGGTCAGCCCCTGATCAGGCCATATAAGGAAATGGAGCAGTTCAGCCACTGTCTCTTTCCCTCCTTTTCTTTGGTGTTGGTCATTCACTACCACTGCTTGTTCTAAACCATTGAGTTTAGTGTTCTTACCATCTGGTATTGTGTTCTTGATAGGTAGCATCATTTGGTATGCTTAACAGCTCTTAGAGCTCGGGATGGATGTTGATTATTATGGAAGCTTATAATGAATTCTTGGTTCTTGGTTTCAGCATTATGGAGGAAATAAAAGGCATACATTGCAGACAACACTACAGCATTGATACTATAAATCAATAAAAGAAAATCAATCTAAAAATCAGCTAAATTGGTGGCATTAGCTATAGCTTGGGCTAGCTTAACTAAAGCATTCTGCTCCCAACTATGCCTTTGATTTTAAAAAAGAAGGAAAAAAAAAAAAAAAGAGAGAGCAAGTAAACTAAAACAAATTTTATTTTTACAATAACCTAACTTGCTTAACGTCAAGAACTGCAAACTGGATTCAGAAGAGGATGTGGAAAAGGGATATCACTGCTGATGTCAGATAGATCTTGGCTGAAAGCAAAGAATACCAGAAAGATGTTTACTTGTGTTTTATTGACTATGCAAAAGCATTTGATTGTGTGGATCATAACACATTATGGATAACATTGAGAATAACTGGAATTCCAGAACACTTTATTGTGCTTATCAGAAACCTGTACATAGACCAGGAGGCTGTCGTTTAAACAGGACAAGGGGATAGTGCATGGTTCAACATCAGGAAAGGAGTGAGTCAGGGTTGTATCCTTTCACCATACTTATTCAATCTGTATGCTCAACAACTAATCAGAGAAGCTAGACTATATAAAGAAGAACATGACATCACAGTTGGAGGAAGACCCATTAACAACATGCTACACACAGACGACACAACTTTGCTTGCTGAAAGTGAGGATGACTTGAAGCATTTACTGATGAAGATTAAAGACTTCAGTCTGCAGTATGGATTGCATCTCAACATAAAGAAAATGAAAATCCTTACAACTGGACCAATAAGCAGAATCACAATAAATGGAGAAAAGATTGAAGTTGTCAAAGATTTCATATTACTTGATTCCACAATCAACACCAATGAAAGCAGCAATCAAGACACCAGACGACATATAGCATTGGGTAAATCTGCTGCAAAAGACCTCTCTCAAGTGCTGCAGAGCAAAGATGTCTCCTTGAAGACTAAGGTGCACCTAACCCAAGCCATGGTACTTTCAATTGCCTTATATGCATGTGAGAGCTAGACAATGAACAAGGAAAACTGAAGAAGAGTTGATGCTTTTGAGTTGTGGTGATGGCAAAGAATACTGAAAATACCATGGAATGCCAAGAGAATGAACAAATCTGTCCTGAAAGAAGTGCAGCTGGAACACTCCTTGGAACCAGACTTCGTCCCACATACTACAGTCATGTTGTCAGAAGGGACCATTCCCTGGAGAAGGATATCATGCTTGGTAAAGTGGAGGGTCTTCATAGGTTCTGACCCAATGTAAGACCAATTCTTAAGGATGCACCTCAGTGGGCTTCAATCCAGGATCCCCTGTGTGTTATGCATGCTTTCAAATGCTAGCAACCAAACAATCATTTATTTATTTGTTTGTTTGTTTAATGTCTTCAGTTGCCAATCAATTCTACTTCTTGGAATCTCTTCTAAGGTTTTACATAAGATTTAAATTGTTACTCACTGAGAATGTATAATCCTTCTTCCCAGGAAATAAATACCTTAAGCATGTTTTACATCTACCTCTTAAGTCACTGTTGGGTCCTAGGTGGCATGGCTTCCAGGACCACTCCAAGGTCTCCAGGAAAAATCTCCTAGTGGCAGCAGATGCCAGCGGTGGTCCTTTGTCTGATTTGCCTCTGGATCTGGGCAGATGACTCCTGGCTGGCTCGCCAGATTTATTACTGGGAAAATCCAGGTCCTCATCACAGCCAATTGACAAGAGGCAGAGGTGGGAGATCAGAAAGGGAGCTTTATTTCATTGGCCAAGGAAAGGAACAGCCTGGGCTACTGTCTCCAAGACTGCTAGGGGAAGGAGACGAGGGAAGCTGTTTTTATAGAGTTTACATACAGGAAATCATTTGGATTACATCAGCAACATTCCAAATTATGTTGTTGTTGTTAAGTGCCATCGAGTCGTTTCCGACTCATAGCGACCCCATGCACAGCAGAACGAAACACTGCCCAATCCCGTGCCAGCCCCACAATCCCTGCTATACTTGAGCCCATCATTGCAGCCACCGTGTCAATCCATCTCGTTGAAGGCCTCCCCCTCTTTCGTTGACCCTCCTCCACCCTACCAAATCATGTTACATAGGTGCATTTACTACTGATTACATCACACACATACATGATCAGAAAATGGTGGCCAGACTCCACCTAGAGGCAGAGCAGTTATGAGCTAAAATTAACTCCAAGTCACAAAGACCAACTTGAACTGGCTGCTGGACAACCAGTTACCAGAAGTGGTCCAATTCATAGCTGGTAGGTCAGCCCATGATCTGGCCATATAAGGAAAGGAGTGATTCATCTACTGTCCTAGGACTGGGCCTGTCTTGTTCATTGGGTGGTGGTGGGAGGGGGAGTTTAAGCCTGTCTAGTGTATGTGAAGTGGGGGGCTGGGCCTGTCTTGTGTATGTCGGGGGGGGATGGAGGGATGGGCCTGTCTAGTGTATATGGGGGCTGGGGAGGCTGGGCCAGTTTAATGTATGTGAAAGGAGGGGCTGGGCCTGTCTAGTATATGTGAAGGGGGGCTAGGCCTGTCTAGTGTATTGGGGGGGCAGGGCCTGTCTAGTGTATACATGTAGGGGGCTGGGCCTGTCTAACATATGTGAAGGGGGGCAGGGCCTGTCTAGTATATGTGAAGTAAGGGCTGGGCCTGCCTAGTAGTGCATGTGGGAGTGGGGCCTGGCTAGTGTATTGAGAGGGCGGTGGCTGCCCAAATTGGATGTGGTGTTGTGGTTGTTAGTTGCTGTTTAACTGACCCTGGTGCATGGTGACTTGGTATGTACAGAGTACAATTGCGCCATAGGGTTTTCAAGGCTGAGGTCTTTCGGAAGTAGAACACCAGGCCTATCATCCAAGGTGCTACTGCGTGGATTTGAACCACTAATCTTTTGGCTAGTTGAATGCTTAACCGTCTGTAACACCAAGTGATTTTTCTCAACCAGACAGGGAAAGGAAGTAGAATTACACCTTTTCTGCTAAAACTGGTTCCAGTTGCAGGGAGGTACTCAGGAGCTACCTGTCCCCTACCTGAGTGAGCCCATGAGCCCTCAGTTCCGGATGATCTGGTGGTTCTTGGGCACGGACACGAATCGCAGCTTCTTCATAATAGGGGGCCGGCCCAGAAGCTGCTCATCCCACAGGTACTCGGGGGAGAGCACCTTGGTGGGCTTGTGATACAGCAGGTACTTGTTCAGGTGGCTTTCGTCATGCCACACTGCCTCGATGTGATTGGTGTGGTCCACCATCATCGCCTGGTGACAGGCCTTGGTGAGCCTCTGCACCTCCAGCACTGAGCCCCCGAAAAAGGCCCCCATGTAGTAGAAGTCCCCCTCACCCCAGGGGATATGGGCTTGGGACTGGGGCCTGCGTTCATAGGTGAAGGCCTTGCGATCAGCAGCATAGAAGCCAGGGTGGAGAGTGCCAAACAAGGAGGAGAGGATCTCTACGCCCACGTGGTCACTGAACTGCATGTCCACATCTGCACACACCAGGTAGTCCACCTCATGCATGAACCGCTGCTCGGAGAAGTTGCTGATCATCTCCATGCGGTGCATGGACACATCCTGCCAGCGGGTGTAGTTGCGGACCTGGAGGACTACCACCTGCCGGCCCTCCTTAAGGGGGACATGCGGGACATCAGCTGGCCGGTCAGTGAAGACATAGTAATTGACTCTGTGTCCCACCATGAAGTACTTCTCTGCAGTCTCCAGGAACAGCTTCAGGAAGACCATGTACCTGCCGGGATGGGATGGAGGAAATGAGAGGGAGAGTGTTAATGGGGTCAGGGCTCAGTTAATGCGGGGGTGGGGGACTGCCGCAATCACAGCCTTTGGAAAAACTCAAAACAGCAACTGCTCCGAGCCCTCCCAGAAGCTTCTGTGCACCTGTGAGCACCCTGTCTCACTCTGCAAGGAAAGCCTACAGCCCCAGAGGGTCAGAACGTGCCTGCACCTCTACGGTCAAGGAGAGCTGGGGCCAGGACCCCTGCCCACTTCTGCCTGAGCACATAAGGCAAATGCTACAGGCACCCACCTGCCTGGCCTCCCCTGGTCTGGGTCTCTGTATGCCCAGCAGGGCAGGTTCAGCCAGCAAGCACCTGGCCACCGGCTCCCTCTGCTCTAAGTGGGTGTCCCTGGACCTCACACATCTGTCTCCACACCATTCTTGAAGGCTTGAGAGTGTTTTGTTCGCAAGATATTCATTAAACTTCTCACATGCTAGGAAAGGAGTCACTCCTGAACTATTCTACTGGGTCAAGGTTGCACCCTGGAGGCAGAGGAAAGGGGAGAAGATAACCCCAGAAAGAAGAAGGGGTACCTCAAATCCACCAGTAGAGGCGTCTAGGCCCAGGCCCTACAGCTTCCCCTCCAGGAAGCCTCCAGCCCCTTCAGATGGCTGGTCCCTCCCTGGTGCACCCCAGGGCCATGTGCTCCCCACCATTGGGACAGCCACCTCTATCATGCAGCAGGTGTGTGGTTCCCCTGAGACCACAAGTTGCTCCAGCAGGTGCATAGCTGCTCTATCTGTCCCACCATCCCTGGCTGACCAGCAGACCCCTTTTGAGGGTAAGTACTGCCACCCTCTGCCGTTTCTCCTTACTTTTTGATAGCAAACACAGTTAGTCCAATGGTGATGTTCTGGAGCTGGAAATGTGCATTCAGGATGTCAATGTTGAAGGTCCCCTCCCAAACAATGGGAGCCAGCCAAGGGGTTAAGACCAGGACGTCACTCCGACTGCAAGGTGAGAAGCCACAGGAGCATGTGAGCTGGCAGGAAGCTCCCTTGGGCCCCCCCTCAGCCTCTTATTTCCTTGGGATCCCCAGGCTGGCCACGGCTTCCAGAATAACTTGGCATTTGCCAGGAAACCAACCGGATACAAATGCAGATTCAGACCTGTGCAAAGCACCCTGGTTTCACTAAGCACTAGGTCTGCTAGGCCCACACTGGGCACTGAGTTGGCCAAAGAGGAAGTAGTGCACTAGGTGGGCAGGAAGCCAACCCCTACCTTGGCCAATTCTCGGATGGCCAAGCAGAGAGAAAACTAGAAATTGGAGAGGGGACAGAGAGTCCTATTTGGGCCTCCGCACTCAGCTGTTAGGAAAAGCTAGAGAGAAAAGAAGCAGGCACAGCAGGGTCAAACCAAGGCTTAAAATCAATGAAAGTGCCTATTAAGATTGTCAGGATAGCACCTTGAACCATGTTGAATACCAATCAGTGTACTCACCAGGGGGTCAACACCTTTGGCTGGGAAGAGACTATCCTAGAAAAACAAAACACTGAGTTTGCATGGAAGTTATAGAAGCTGGACCCAAGAGGTGGGGGCTTGTGTAACTGCTTGAAACCCTCAAAACCCAAACCTGCTGCTGCCAGGTTAACCCTGACTCACAGCAACCACATGGGTTCCAGAAAAGAACTGCTCCCAGAGGGTTTTCTTAGCTATAATCTTTATGGAAGCTGATTGCCAGGTTTTTCTTCCATGGCACCACTGTGGATTTGAACTGCCAACCTTCAGGTTAGCGAGGAGCGTAAAATAAACCATTTGCACTGCCCAGGGACCTTACAGCCCCAACAACCAGGGCAAAAACCACCCCACAACAGCTGCACTGTTCTAGCTGGAGGTGCCTTTGTCAGGGCAGAAACCCAGCTCCTGGGGTCTCAGTTTCATCATCTGTGAAGTGGGAGAGTAGGACTCACTGACCTCAGCTTGACTTCAGCCCTAGGGGAACTGAGGGGTCATGTTTTAATTCGCTGGGGGAGAAGGAGGTTGGCAGTAGCCTCTGTCCCTGATCAGGACATCATCAGGCCTGTGGACACTCCCACCTGGGCTGGAAACCTGGCTGGTAGCCTTGAATAAGTTCATTACTCTCGGAGCCCAGGTGCCCTGTCTGGGCTGTGGGAGAGTGACACCCACCTCTCTTGGTTGTCACAAGACCAGCTCTAGCAATGGTTTACTACACTCCATCAGGTGCAACACCTGAGAAAAGGCATGCACAATGCCAGCGCCCACAGTCAAGGGTCACCGGGACCCCTGGAAAAACCAGCCGGTGGGCTGCTGGGAAGTTCAGCCAAAGCTACAATTTGAATTTCCGTGATGGGTTTAAAAGCAAGTGACCACCTCATCTTGGGTTTGTGAGACCTTCCTCATGCCAGCATGAACAGAAGCAACATTCCAGGAAACCTTGAGGCCAACCAGGATGCTTGTCACCCTGCTGAGAGCCACCAGCTGGACCCGGACCCTTCAAGGACTGGACGGTGAAACAGTAGCCTTCAGGAAGGAGGCCTGGGAGAAGGAGTCCAGGGGAGGGGGCCCCATCTGTATACACACCGGGGTGGGTGACCTCCTGATTTGAAGGCATCAGGGGAAGGGGAGTACTTTGATAACTTCACAACCCGTGGGCCATCCAAGTCTCCTGCAGATGCACTGCAAAACAAGAATAGAGGGCTTTGTAATGATCATTTACAACCTGACTACTTTCTGAAACAGCTGTCACAGCCATGTGACATCAGCTGTCTGTGACAGTGGCTGCATCCCTGCGTTTAGTCTGGCCCTGGTGTTATGGTTCTTTTTCATTTTTTTCCCATCTGCTTTCAGAGTGGCCACTGGAGCAGCAGTGTTGTAAATGGAGGGACACAGTGAGGGGTCCTAGTGGAGGAGGTCAACGCGGCCCAGGGTGGAGATGTAGAGTCCATCTGAGATGGGGCCAGAAGCCCTCAGAACAGGCTGGCATCTCCTGGATGGACACAGACATGCAGTGGTCAGGGGCTCTGGCTGTCCAGCAGCAGATCCCAAACTCCACCAGGTGGCATCCCAGCCAGCAGTGCAATGTCTGCAAACCCTTCCAGAGGGGTCTCTTCCAGCCTCCTACGTTTCAAATGTCAGATTCTCACCAACTCAGTTCTGGAGTGTGGGGCTGCCATACATGAGTATCAATGGAATGGAGCTGTATCCACCGCCAAAAAGTGAGGGGGCAATCATGCCCAAGAGGCAGAAGAACACGGCCTTCCAGGCCGAGGGGGTGAGGTCACCACTTAGATGGACTAGGAAAATTGGGCTACCCAATGAAGGAGATCTGTACAGGGGCCAAGATGGCGAGGGGTGGAATGTGGTAGTTAAGGTTGTGTGTCAACTTGGCTGGGCTGTGGTTTGAGTGGCTTGGCAGCTGGATGTAGTTATTCCCTACGATGAGATTGTAATCATCTCCATGGTGGAATCTGCTGTGAGCAGCTAAGTAGTTGCCTTCAGGGTATGCCCTGCTTCCAGTATGTATGGGAAAGCTTTGAGGAAGGTCTCTAAATCTTTGGCACATCTGGATCCTGCATTTGGCAGAGTCTTCATCTCCAGTTTCTGGACTTCCTAGTCGCCTGCCATGTTACTTACCAATTTAGGGATTGTACCACTTTACATACTGTTTGGGTTCATCAGCCTCAGCAGCCAGTAGCTGTCAGTAGCTGTCTGAGTCAGGAAATGTCTCCAGTTCCATTGGGCCTGTAATAAGAGGCAGAGCTGAAGGCCAAGGTCAAGGGGCCTTCACCCAGCCCCTAGAGCTGGTACTCTGAATTTAGAATTCTAGCTTCCTAAATTGTAAGAGAATAAATTCCTGTTTGTTAAAGCCATCCACTTGTGGTATTTCTTTTTCTTATCCAGTCTGCAACTCTCTGTCTCTTGAGTGGTGCATTTAATCCACTGATATTCAGTGTAATTATCAACAGGAATGAATTGATTGCTGTCATTTTGTTATGTGTTTTTTCATGGTGTTGCTGGTTTCTTTGTTCCATATAATTTTCTGTGCTGAGCTCATTATGTTTATGAATCATGATATCATTTCCTTTGTTGCTGTTGCTTTGTTGTTGTTGTTGTTATTATGTGCCGTCGAGTCGGCTGTTGCTTTAGCATTTGCTAAATATTTGTACTAATCCTCTTTTTTATTGGGATGTGAAGGTTTATCACTTTTCTTTGAGGTTATCCTGTCATTTATAATTTTCTCCTCAAGTTTAGAACAGTCCATTCTATCTTGCAACTCTCTTGACTTCCTCACCATTTAGAAGTTCTGTAACTTCACTATTTTTCCCCTCTTTTCGGTTTGTAGTTGTCCTCATTTGCCAACAGATGTTATGGGTTCCCTTTTTACAATATTGTAAGCTTATTTTACTTTGGATACTTCCATAGGTGTGTTGGTGTCTGGGTTATGTCATCTTGTGTATTAATGGTTCGTTGTGGTTTACTATTATTGGTTCTCTGTTCAAAGCACTCCCTTTAGTATCTCTTGTAGGGTTGGTTTGGTTTTAACAAATTCCCTTAACTTCTGCTTATCTGGAAATCTCCTAATTCACCATCATATTTGAGGGACAATTTTGCTGGGTATGTAATTCTTGGTTGGAAATTTTTGTCTTTCAGGATTTTATACATACAATCCCATTGCCTTCTTGCTTGCATGGTTTCTGCTGAGAAATCAGACCTTATTCTTATTGATTGTCCTTTGTAAGTAACTTTTCATTTTTCCCATGCTGCTTTCAGGATTCTTTCTTTGTCTTTGGTTTTGGTGCATTTCATGATGATATGTCTTGGTGACTTTCTTTTGGGGTCTATCCTGTTTGAGGTTTGTTGGACTTCCTGAGTGGATATATTCTCATCTTTCATCATATCAGGGAAGTTCTCTTCCAACAAATCTTGGACAATTTTCTCAGAGGTTTTCTTTTTTTCTTCCTGTTCTGGAATTCCAGTTATCCCACATGAACCTTAGGCTTTCTTCATTTTGTTTTGATCTTTTTTCTGATTGATCCCCTTCCAAAGAAGTATTCAGGTATTTGTCTTCGATCTCATTAATTTTGTCTTCCATTGATTCGATTCTACTCCTTTGCCCTTTCAATGTGTTATCTATTTCTGGTAGCATAGTGGCTAAGACACTTGCCTGCTAACCAGACAGCTGGCAGTTCAAACCCACCAGCCACTCCTCGGAAGGAAGGTTGGGCAATCCTACTTCCGTAGTGATACTGCCTCGGAAACCCAAGGAGGGGTCACTATGAGTCGGGTTTGACTCGACGGCACATAACAACAACAACAACATCTATTTCTGAAATTTTATTATTATCTTCTGGATTTCTATCTATAGATTTTGTATCATTTCTAATTTTTCATTTATTTTGTCATTTTGTTCTTGTATTTTCTTCCAAAATTGTTCTAAGGCTTTGTCTGTGTTTTCCTTAATTTTGTCAGTGTTTTCCTTGATCTGTCTCTCAATCCTTTGAAGGTACCTAAGTATATTTCTTTTGAATTCCTTATCAGGCAGTTCCAATGCTGCTGCTTCTTCAGGGATGTGTTCTGGGTCTATATCTGTTCCCTTGTTTCTACCATTTTATCTTGCTTCTTTGTGTGGACAGTGATGGTCTGTTGTTTCTGAGATATTGTGACATTGTTGTATTTAGATCTCTGATAACTGTTTGTGAGGAGCAGTTAAGGGTGAGTCAGGCTCTTCTCAGTGGTCATTTATCATTGACCAGTTGGTGAAGAAGAAAGTGGTGGCTTTCACTCAGTAAATGGAGCTGTGCTGCAGGAGGTGCAGATGTGGTTATGTCGTATGGGCACGGCTGCTGTCTCGCACTCTGTTAGACAAAAACAACAATTGAAAAACCATAAAAAAGTAAAGGCAAGTGGACAGGAAACACCACATAAACACACAGGAACAATCACCAAAAAAAGAAAAGAAAAAAAAAACACCACAATATCTGGGGAGGGGGCAATAAGAGAAAAGAATTAGAGTAGGCGGATAATGAGGAAAAAATTGGGAAAAATGCAAAAAGAAAAACAAGGAATGAGGTTAACCACAAGAAAGAAAAAAAATGGGAACCAGGAACAGGGAAGAGGAAAAGGTGAAAAATAGAACCTGGGAAGGGAAGAATAAAGAATAACAATAATAAGGATAAACAAAAAAAGAAGAAGAAGAATAGCAATAATTTTAAAACAGACAAAAACAAACAAACTTAAAAAAAAAAGCGGAGGGAGGGGGGAAATCTGGGCAGGGCGGTGCAGGGTACCCAGGCTCTGTCTGGGCACACAGACTGGGATGGAATTCCTGCTGGCCCAGAAGGTGAGTGAGAGTGAGGGATGGCCACACCTCTATTCACCAAGAGGGTGTGGGGTATAGAGTAACAAGGGGAACATCACACCTTTCCAGTCATTTGCATCCGGAATGTCCTTGCAGTTCCTGGCAAGTGGAGCATATTCTTAGGTTCCTGGAATCTGGGAGAATGCTGTTGCTTTAAATATTCAAAATGGTCAAACCGCTTGTAAACATTCAAAATGGCTGCACCCTCCAGACAGGCAAAAGTCCACAGCTCAGCCTGTCTCCCTCTTCACTGCTTTCCCTTTTATTCACCAGCTACCAGTACAGTCCTCCCTGCAGCCCCTGGCTAGCAGGGCCAATTTTGGGGTTAATTCTTAGGTCCTGACACCACTTGGCAATATCCAAGCTGTCCATGCCATTAGGATCACTGACAGTCCACAGCTCCTATGTCTCCTTTATTGATGTTTTCATACATGTTCTTCGACTAGTTGGAATTTAGTCCACTTCTGTATCCTTCCTTTCAAAGCTCAGGGCTCCAGGATTATCTTCCGTATCTGTGTTCATTGGTTCCCCTTTTCTTTGTTAAAGAGGGTCTATGTAGTTTGTCTGCTTATTCCACCATCTTACTGGAACCTCCCACTTGTGGTATTTCTGTTATAGCAGTACTAGGGAACCAAAACGTGGACTGGCCTGGTCCCTCATGTCTAACAGATAAAATGCAGGGTTACAATGCTGTATCCCTTCAGAAGCCATACATAGCATAGCCAGTGGCAATATAGCATCTATGTCATCTCTCTCAGGACACTTGAGATGGGGCCTCACAAGCAAGCTGAGAGGAAGCTGACAGAGGCCTCTGGAAGATAGCATGGGGGTACCTCAGCCAAGAATCAGCATCAACCACCCACAGTGTAAGGTGATCCAGCCCCAGTCACTATCTGCCTATAGGGGCATGAGAGAACCTGAGCAAAAGGTGCCCAGCTGATCCCAGCCAAAACCAAGAGAGGCATGGTAACAAGTGATTACTGGGTTTCACATCGATAACTGGAGAGGACTGTTTCGGTTAGCGTTCAGCTGCTAATCAAAAGGTTGGTGGTTTAAACCCACCAGCTGCTCTGCAGGAGAAAGATGAGGCAGTCTTCTACTGTAAAGACTACAGCTTTGGAAACCCTATGAGGCAGTTCTACTCCAGGGGTTCTGTGAGTTGGTATCAACTCAATGGCAGTGGGTTTGGTTTTTTGATGTATTACATTAAATGATGAAGCAGTAGATATACAATGCAAGCAGGAACTAGCCAGATAAAAGAGCAGGAAGGAGAGAAGAGGGGTCCTTCAGAAGCCATGGCAGTAAGA